TAAAAAAATAATTTTAGACATACAGAAAAGTTGCAAAAATAGCATAACAACTCATCTACCTTAGTATTAGCATCTTATATAGCCATGAGCAATTATCAAAATTAAGAAACTAATATTAACCCAATACTATTAACTAAACTACAGACTTCATCTGGAATTCACCAGTTTTCCCAACTACTACACTTTTCTCTGTTCGAGCATCCAATCCAGGATTCCATATTATCTTAGTTGATGCATCTCTCTAATCTGTGAGAGTTCCCCAATCTTTTTTTGTCCTTCATGACCTGAACAGCTTTGAAGAGTATTGGTAAGTTGTTTTGGAGAATGTCTCTCCCTTTAGTTTGTCTGATGTTCCCTCCAGATTTGAATGAGGTTATACATTGTTGCGAAGGATACCACAGAGACAGAGTGCCTTCTCAGTGCATGGTATGGGGGAGTCCATGACATTGGTATTTCTTTTTATTGCTGATATTAACCCTGATCGCTTGGTTAAAGTGGTGTCTGCCAAGTCTTTCCACTATAAAGTTATTCTTTTTCCCCTTGTTTCAATAATTTAAAAATACAAGGCTCGGGCTTCCCTCGTGGTGCAGTGGTTAAGAATCCACCTGCCAATGCAGGGGACACGGGTTCGAGCCCTGGTCCGGGAAGATCCCAAATGCTGCGGAGCAACTAAGCCCGTGTGCCACAACTACTGAAGCCCGTGTGCCACAACTACTGAAGCCCATGTGCCTAGAGCCTGTGCTCCGCAACAAGAGAAGCCACTGAAACGAGAAGCCCGCACACCACAACAAAGAGTAGCCCCTGCTCCCCGCAACTAGAGAAAGCCCGCACGCAGCAACAAAGACCCAATGCAGCCAAAAATAAAACAAACAAAAAACATTAAAAAAAAAAAAATACCGGGCTCAGGGCAGGAGGGAAGAGGATTCCCTGAGACTGTGCAAATATCCTGCTTCTCCTCAAACTGTTGCCCATTAATTTTAGCATTCACTGATCGATCTTGCCCACAACAGTTATTATTTTGGCGCTCTAATTATTTGGCGCTCTAATCTCTAGAAATAGAGATTTCTATTTCTCTCATTCCCCCTACAGTAATTAATTGGAATTCTTCTGTAAGGAAGAGCTGCCTCTTCTCCCCCTTTTATTTATTTATGCAGTTATTTATTTATATCAATATAGTCTCATTGATATTTATTTCATTCTATGGATTATAATCCAATGCTATTGTTATTTTTTTTAATTAATTAATTAATTTTGGCTGCATTGGGTCTTCGTTGCTGTGCGTGGGCTTTCTCTATTTGCAACGAGTGGAGGCTACTCTTCGTTGCAGTGCGTGGGCTTCTCATTGCAGTGGCTTCTCTTGTTGCAGAGCACAGGCTCTAGGCACACAGGCTTCAGTAGTTGTGGCACACGGGCTCAGTAGTTGTGGCTCACAGGCTCTAGAGCGCAGGCTTAGTAGTTGTGGGGCATGGGCTTAGTTGCTCCGTGGCATTTGGGAATTTCCCGGACCAGGGCTAGAACCCATGTCCCCTGAATTGGCAGGAGGATTCTTATCCACTATGCCACCAGGGAAGCCCCCTGTCACTTGTTTTTGAACTCCAATTGATCCAGTTTTGGTCATTGGCAGTTCTTTCACATTGGCTCTGTGCCTTTCCTAGTGCCCTACCTTTTGTTTTTTGAGTAATTTTTTACTTCCTGGTGCCACAAGATACTCCAAGCTCACCCTGTGATTTCACTACTCCAGCCCAAGAATCAGCCTTTTCTGCAAGGAGCCCTTCTTCCTTTTATTAGAGCATGGTATTTGAAACCAAGATCTGAAGGCTAGGTGTACTTATTACTACAGTGGTGTCATTGCCTCTAAGTCATCTCAGCAGGTGGGACTTGGAAATATATGTATACTTACTAACCCCCCACCCTAATACACACACACTCACACACACACACCCCTTATATTTATTTCTGTATTTATCTATGTATATTAAAAAACATGGGTTCATATTGATACCCCTGATTCTAATTCTAAAGACTTTGCTTAATATTTTATCCAGTATCTCCCCAACGAGAGGGTCAAGAGGAATGAAAAAGGCTTATGCATTTAAATGGTGCCCAGCTATTGTGTAGACTAAGGGTCAGCAAACTATGGCCGACTGCCTATTTTTGTGAAATACTTTCACTGGAAAAAAGTTTTGTTTTTTGTTTGTTTGTTTGTTTTGCGGTACGCGGGCCTCTCACTGTTGTGGCCTCTCCCATTGCGGAGCACAGGCTCTGGACGCACAGGCTCAGCGGCCATGGCTCACGGGCCTAGCCGCCCCGCGGCATGTGGGATCTTCCCGGACTGGGGCACGAACCCATGTCCCCTGCATCGGCAAGCGGACTCTCAACCACTGCGCCACCAGGGAAGCCCTGGAAAAAAGTTTTATTGGAACACAGACACATCCGTTAATTTAGGTATTGTCTATGGCCATTTTCCACTAGAAATTAATAATTGAGTAATTACAACAGAAGTTTTTTGAGTTGCAAAGCTGCAAATATTTTCTATCTAGCCCTTTACGGAAAGGGTTTACAGATCCCTAGTCTAGGCTATGTTTCAAATTTTCACCTGAGAGATGAAATGGAAACAGTATGGGTTCAGAGTCCATCCTTCCTCTTATAATTACTAGCCATAGGCAAGCCACTGACCCTCTCTGTGCCTCAGTTTCCCCTTCCTTGAAGTGTTTTGGGGAACACTAAAGATCATATGATAAAATCCCTGGCATATAATAAATGCTCAACTAATGGTAGCCAGAGTTACTTCTGCAGGTGGCTTTTTAGAATTTTGCACAAAAATAATCTATTTTCAGTCGTGCTTAGATGACTAATATAGTTCACAGAGCCTGTTTGACCATGGGGACTCTGAACCATAATTCTAAATTCAAATACTCACTGCATCACTTACTACCTGTGGGACCTTGGGCAAGTAACAATGTTTTTGAGCCTGTTTCTCCCTCCATACAAGGGTAAGATATTCATAGGCCATAAGAAATTATGTCTATAAACATCTTTATGCCATGGTCCCCCAAACCAGTCAGGAGACAAAGCTGGGATGAATGCATCAAAATTAGAATCAAGATGTCTTAAAATACATCTTCCTGACCCTAGCCGCAGGAATTCTGATTCAGGAGGTCTAGAATAAGGTCCACACTAAGCATTTTTAGCAAATACCTAAACTGACTTAGTTGCAGGGCCAGGTCTGGGAATCACTGTTACTCAGTAGTAAACACCACGCAAATTCCCTCCGTGATCTCATGTCAGCTCTACATCCTCATGGTGTCCTGCTACCTTCCTCTCATTCAGATAAATGCTTGGCCCATTCAAGGCTTCCTCGAGTGCTACAAGAAACCCAAATCTCCTTCTTCTGAGCCACTGCATTATATCCCTTTATAGAGGATTAGGTCCTACTGAGAGGTCAATAAGATTCTCCATGTTTCAGAAGATTAATCTATTCCTTCAACATCCTCCTCCTTTACAAAAATACACTCTGTGAGTCTCTCCCTCATTGTATTAGTCAGTAAATACAAAACCAAGAACCAGGTGGGGTTGTGAGGAGGGGAAAAGGGGACAGCAAGATGACCAGAGACACTGGTAAGGAGGAGAGCAAATTAAAGAAGGCAGTCATCCCCAGCTAACCCCTTCACACTTTGCCCTGCTTGTCAGTAGGGCAGGGTAAGAAACACAGGCTGGAGCAGGTACAGGGCCTTTTAACCCATAGCTGGGACCCACAGTAGGGTTGAGGAATGAGAAACCCTAGGTGGTAGGAGCTGGGATGGAGATTCCTGGGGTCTTTTGATGTGAGGGACACACATCACTGTGAGTTCAGCACATGGCATACCCGAACACTCGTAGGCTGGTACACTGGCTCAAAAGCCAAGACTCCGCTGCTCACTCTTATGCATCAACAGAGACCAGGAAGGATAGGTGTGTCCAGGAGCAGGAATACAATGGAGGCTGTCAACTTTAGTGGTGCCCAAGGAGCAGCTTGCAAACTATCTTAACCCATCATCTGCCAAAGCTTTTTTAAAAAATGACGTAAAATTAACATAAAATTAACCATTTTAGGGCTTCCCTGGTGGCGCAGTGGTTGAGAATCTGCCTGCCAATAAGGGGACATGGGTTCGAGCCCTGGTCTGGGAAGATCCTACACGCCGTGGAGCAACTCGGCCCGTGAGCCACAGCTACTGAGCCTGCGCAGCTGAAGCTTGTGCTCCGCAACACGAGAGGCCGCGACAATGAGAGGCCCGCGCACCGCGATGAAGAGTGGTCCCTGCTCGCCGCAACTAGAGAAAGCCCTCACACAGAAATGAAGACCCAACACAGCCTAAATAAATAAATTAATTAAAAAAAAAAATTAACCATTTTAAAGCGTACACTTCAGTGGCATTTAGTACACTCACAATGTTGTATATCTATCACCTATATCGTTTCAAACATTTTCATCATCCCCAAAAGAAAACCTCATGCCATTAAAACAGTCACCCGTTTGTTCCTCTCTCTACCAATAATTTTTTATAGTGAGGGGTGGATTTTCTCTGTAATGAGATTTTATGTACCCACTGTTTGAGAAGCTTTGGCAAACTCTGGGTTCAAAGGGCACAAGAACATTCTCTCTTCAACCAGGTGGGAGCAGCTTTCTGGAAAGCCCTAATGTTAAGTTTCCCTTCCCCCATCTCATTCAGTCCAGTGGGAACAGTGCCAGATTCTTATACACGACTACACACACACACACACACACACACACACACACACACACACACACA